CTTCCGGGCCCCCATCCCACTCCGATCAGGAAGTCGCGCTGGGCGTGAGGTTGGGCGTCACACCCCTGCTCCAGCAGTTTGCCCTGGATTTGGACGAGTGGGATCTAGAGGCTATTGAGAGTAGAGAGTGTACTGGTCTCTTATACACATCTAGATGTGTATAAGAGACAGACCGTAGGCTGCACGCACAGAGAGAGAGAGAGGGAGAGAGAGAGAGAGAGAGAGAGAGAGAGAGAGAGAGAGAGAGAGAGAGAGAGAGAGAGAGAGAGAGCGGTTGTGCGGGTGCGGGATAAGTATTTTTTTCCTTGTTTCTTCTTCCTTTGTTCATCTGTATAATTTTGGATCTTGATAAGGCCGATTTCTTTATCACGGCCCTTCTCTTTTGGACTTCTCGTATGCATCATCTCGGATTTTCCTTGTTGTTTTACTCGGTATGTATGCATGAAATGAATGTAAATTCCCTTTTATTAGCGATCTTTTCGGATTTCCAATCTGTTTTACGATGCTTGTTTCGTCTCTGACCCAATGATCACCTGCGTGAGATATATGCTCAGATCTGATTGGAATTGCTCGATTTGGATGTCTGGGGTTTAGTCGTTAAACATTCAGGAGTGTTGTGATGAGTTAATTGTCCTGCTCCCTCTTCCCTCATTTTGCGTCACATGTATGGCATGTAGTGATTGGTAGGATATTTGCACTTATGCTGAGCGCGACCGGCACACGCAACCAATCGGTTGTTCCTTACATGCGCGCGCGCGTACGTTCGCGATCTTGAGAAAGCCGAGTCGCCACGTACGCATCGTCTGCGTAAGTCAGCCTTAACCTCGTGAAAGGATGCGGGGGATTAAGCTTACGAAACGGACATGGCTGCGAGATCTACCTCTTGGGCGTCCGACTACGAGAACCTGAGGGACCCGGAATATCGCGAGTATTAGGAAGGTGAACAACTTGGACTACGGGGAAACCTGAAAAACCCAGAATTCCCCTGTTTGACGGAGCATGATCGACTGTGCGCGGGGGATTTCCATTGGGCTATAACCAGCGACCCTAGAGGCCCAGACTACCCGGATACGGACAATACTCAATATTATATATCCCTGGGTTTCGTCGTTATCACTACCCGTTTCCCTCCCTTCCATCTCCTCCTCCCATATCACCAACTCACAGTGGTACCGTGGAATTCCATAGCTCGCTATTGGCCCAGCCCGCCGTGCGAGGGTTGTCATCATCACCGGGCGCGCCGAGCTTCGAGAACTACCCAACAAACTCGAACTGAAACTGAGCAACGATTGCACAGCCTCCGCTTACAGCCCGCCTCGACGGAATCCGAAGCCTGTTACGAGCGGCGCCGACAACTAGCCGAACCGCGTGACCGACCCCGTAGGCGAAACATAGGCGATCGTAATCTCATGGGTTTTAAGCTGACAAAATTCGAAGGTCGTTGTTAGGGGCAATGTTGATTGATTTCGTTCGAAATGTGAGAGTGTTTAGACCTATCGGCACTGTGATTACGGAAGAGTACCCCGGGATCTTTAGTCCGAGATGCACTGCGCGTACTATCTGCCCTGTGCTGCACGACATCTGCGGCTCCTCTTCTATGCACAAACCTTGAGTGGCGGACCGCCTTCATCCTTTTAAGAATTAAGAGACACAACTTGCACATACCGTTTTTGCGCTTTTACCCCCAAAACTTGTCACAGGAGATCTCAGTTCCAACCTGGGACTCCACCCCCACTTTCCTAAAATCCTTGGCACACCCCCTTTTGCGCACTTCCGGGCCCCCATCCCACTCCGACTAGGAAGTTGCGCTGGGCGTGAGGTTTGGGCGTCACAACGCCATGTCACAGTTGTGCCCCCTGCTGCACAACCTGCACCGATGCATGACGTCCACGTGGCGGCTGGACACTATCTCCGACATTAGTCATCGCTCGCTCTCTGTTGGCCGCACCTTGTCGGCGTTGTCGAGTTCGAATGTGTGCTCGCATGTGCAACATGGCGGGTAACTTGCGTCTCCCTCGCCCTCCTCCTCTTGTGTCTTCCTCCGCGGCCTCGCTCGTGATCATAGCTTCTCTCTTTCTCTCTCTCTCTCTCTCTCTCTCTCTCTCTCTCTCTCTCTCTCTCTCTCTCTCTCTCTCTCTCTCTCTCTCTCTCTC